GACTCAGAGGTTCACTGTGTGGCTACACAGCAGCATCACTGACAAAATCTTAGATAAAATGTAGCAAAACTGCAACAAATTGTGGATGTGATGCACTCTGATCAAAAAGACCGCTGCAGATGAAGGCTCACGTCTGCTTTTGATTAAAATTATGAAGCCAATGTCGTAAAAATATGAAAGTCTTTTATGTTCTTTCAGTGTGTTTTTGCACTTTACTTGATAAATACAAATAAAACAGACAATTAGCATGCTATCAAACTAAAATATTGAGCAGTTTTTCCTTTTTTATTCATATTCTTTTGGATCACCTTGCCTTCATTTCACCACTTTCCATCCTCAGTCACGCCCCTGTCTGCAAACAATAAGGGACCCCCCCCCCCCCCCCCCCAAAGGTTTTGTAGAGCAGTGTGGTAGAAGGAAACGTCACTCTGCACTTGTTTAGAAAGGAGGAAGCTCAGCGACACGGGGCAGCTGGAGCTGAACCGCAGGGATGCAGGAGTCAAAACCTTTTAATCCTTGTGACATTTCAGCTCAGACCTCTCATCAAAGCGTGTGCGCCGCTGTGCTGCTCAGAAAAAAAAAAGGAGGGCGAGCAAGGAGGGTTTGTGTAGGACTGATGAAAGGGATGTGAAGGACAGGAAAACAAGTAAACAAGATAATGTGTCGATGAATGTGAGGACGGAGCTTTTAGAAGAAACATCCTCTCGTCAGCTTTTCAAATTTCCTGCATCACCACGTGAGATGATGCCGGGAGCATCCCAAATCTCCAGAGACGCCTCACACCTTTCGGCTACCTTCTGTGGTATCAAAACTTCAGCTCCACCTGTCACAACCAACTGGGCGTACGCTTCTCCCCGTTGGCACGATTTCTGTAACACCGCGTGACACCTGCAGCTCGTCCACCTCCGACAGCCCCTACCTTGTCTGTCCACATCATTCTGATTCCCGTTTCCTCCTCCTGGCTTCATCCAAGCATGGAGATCCCTGGAGGGGCTGCAGGGAGTCTTTGTGGGATTGGCTGAGAATTAGAGCGTGCAGGGAAAACATGTTTACCTGAAGACGTAAAAATGTTTCCAGTGAATCACATTTTTACTTTTGTTGGATTTCTGTGCAACCAATGTTTTCCTGCTTTGGATAAACTATGTCATGTATGATCATTTCACTGTGGAAATAATGGAATTAAGGCTGTTTTGGCCAATTCTTGAAAATGAGGATGTGTGCAACCTCACTCATCTTTGCAGTCGATGTATTAAAAATATAAAGAAATAAAAGGACTAAAGCCACTGATGCACCACGGAAGACACCGAAGTGTCCAAAACAAAAGGATAAAAAATCTGTCAGTTGGTTTATTTATTAAACCTGGGGCGACGGTGGCACAGGAGTTAAGTGCTCGCCCCGTAATCGGAAGGTTGCAGGTTCGAGCCCCGCTCAGTCTGTCACTGTCGTTGTGTCCTTGGGCAAGACACTTAACCCACGTTGCCTGCTGGTGGTGTTCGGAGGGACCGGTGGCGCCAGTGCTCGGCAGCCTCGCCTCTGTCAGTGCGCCCCAGGGCAGCTGTGGCTACATTGTAGCTCATCCCCACTAGTGTGTGAATGTGTGTGTGAATGGGTGAATGACTGATTGTGTTGTAAAGCGCCTTGGGGGGTTCTAGGACTCTAGAAGGCGCTATATCAAATACAGACCATTTATTATTCCCATGCAACAATCAACAGACACCCTTTTTAGTTTGTTAAATCTCCCCTCCTGCTTTGGTAAAAACTAAAGACCCACCCCAGTGCATGCTGGTCCTACACCTGCCCTCATCTTTATACACCTGGTTCCTGCACACCTCCTCCTAAACTGCAAAATCCAAGGGACAAAATATTTTAGAAAATAAAAGAATTGTATTTGAAACGTTTGATTTTAAGGTCATTAGGCAAATTCTAAATATTCCAAATAAGGGAAAATATCAATAGCTCCTTCAGTTACAACATGTTGGACGTTCTGTTAGCACTGAGTGCGAGTTTCGATGCCCCGGCCTCCTAATCTTTTTCAGGATTTTATTTTTTGCTTTTACTCTCCTCTTTTAATTGATTTTATGTTGGTTTTATGATTGTTCTGTTTTATTCTGATGGTTTTATGTTTTTATTGTGTTGTGTTCAGCACCTTAGGCGTCTGCATTGGTCGTAGAAGGGGCTTTATAAATAAATTAAATGAAAATGAAATTGAATGAGTTGTCTCAAAGTTTGCTACGGTTGTCTTTTTTACGGCAGAGCATTTCCAAAAGAACATCAGCTGTAGAGATACATCTAATGTTCTAAAATCTATCCACTGGTTGATGAAATTTTTTGCCAAAAGTTATTTTCGTCTCCAAATCCTAATTTTGAATTAATGTAATGCACAATTGTTGGTGTGCAGGTTATGAGATGAGTGCAATTCTCACCAAATTAGGTCTCAATAGCTATAAAACTGGCCGAGTTTCAGACCAGTTAATGTTGATTAGTGGTGACCATCTTGAATTTGATTCATTCCAATCAGTTGCAGACGTACGTCCAATAAGGTAAGCTACAGAATAGGTTTCACAGTGCTTCTACTGGTTTATAAATCACTCTGAGGCATGTAGTCAAAATCCGTGTTGGACCTCCTTGCAGTATAAATTCCCAGCAAGGCTCTATCCTTAGGAAACAGTCAGCTCATAGAACTCCGGGTCGGAATCAAACAGGGTGAAGCAGCTTTTATCTACTTTGCAATACTATCTAGTAACTTTTAAATCACAATAAAAAAAATCATATATCCATTATCCTTTGAATTATTGTTTCTTATGCTGCACCTTCTGCACTGTAACTGCTCACCCTTTCATTTTATACCACCTTAACAATTTACTTAGTCTTTTTTTCTGTTTCTTGAAGCTAAACATAATTTGTGTATTTATGTCAAGTTGTTGGATTTCTGTGCAACCAATGTTTTCCAATTTAATTGTATTTATGTCAAGTTATTTTAATGTTCCTGCTGTTCTCGCTAATAGAAAGCACATGAAATTGGCCCTGTTTTTGAAATGTGCTATACAAATAAAGCTTCTTTGCCTTGGCTAAAGACTTTTTGGGATTTAGATTAAAATCCAGAGGTTCATGAGATGTTTCACTAATGTTACAGAAGGACAAACAGAAGCAAAACATTATCACCCATCTCCCACCATAAGGAGGCAGGTGATAATAAAGCATGTCCCTGAAAGCCTTTGATAATCCAGCTTGTGAGATGAAACAAACACAGATTTCCTGCAAAACCAAATTTATTCTTTTTACTGCAAACGCTGTTAACCAAAATTGACACGGTGATATAATAAACTACACATTAAAAGCTAAGTATTTTATTCACACCAGTGTTTGCATTTGCAATCACATTATTTATTCATGCAGAAACAAAGATTTGAATGATTTATGGTCCAAAAAGCTGAGGAGGAAAACCAGGGCGGTTAAACTAATGTTTAGTGTTTTTAACCCTCCCATTGTCTTTATGGGTGACCCCACGAGGAAAGTTGACCATGAAGCAGGATTGATGGTTTATCCTTTGAGGTCCATGTGCCAGGGGTGAGGTGGTGCTCACTCCTGCCACATGGACCCAAGGGATAAACCATCAACCCTGCCCAATGGTCAACTTTCCTCACGGGGTCACACCCATTAGGACAGTGGGAGGGTTAAGAAAGATTTAAAATGACCCACCACATCTGCTTTTGATGGTTTACAATAAGAATAAACTATAGGTGCACTCTCTTTTTGGATCATAAATCATCCTCTTATAGCTTTTCACTGATGGACAACACTCAACTTCATAATTTCCCACAGACACTAATTGGTGCACAAATTAAAAAAACAAGCACAATGACAACATATGAAATGTTAAAAGTTTTTTATTCAAACACAAAAGTTTGACTATGATGTTTGGAAGACTTGAGGAAAGTTAGGCAGGGGGTTTGCCGCAGCGTTGCGTCATCTTTTCTTTCAGCAACATGAAAACTGACAATTATTTTGAAGGTGAAATGTTTTTTCCCCCCTAGCATTTATTTTTGCTCTTCATTTATTTATTTTATTTCTGCGCATGCCTTTTGGTGTGTTTCTAACGTATTTAAATAACGACACCTGTTACTTATTCAGTGTTGTATTCTGAACTTTTATAGCCTCAGATCTTAATCAGATCATCTGAATAAACACTTATTATAGCAGACAATTAAAATGTGTGCTTTCTTTCATATAATGATAATTTGAGGATGGTGGTGAATGTGTGCACTTTGGAAATAAACCAAAAACGATTTCAGGTGATATGATGGACACATCATTATCTGATTCTTTTAATTTGTCTTATTTAAAGGAAGTGGTTACTCTTTTTCTTCTTCTTCTTCTTCAGTTTTTGACCACAAGGCGGCAGTCTTCAACATTTTCTGACTGGTTTTCAAGGCTTTGCCAACACGATCATCAAAGAGTGTAACTAGTTAGTCAGGAATCACGTGAATGCCCTGCAGAGTGTTTGATATATTAAAAAACCTTAAACATGGTTGAAATTGTGATTAATCACGTCACTTTAAATGTAAACAGCATATTTATATTTCATTTCCTGTCATTTTTTTTCTTATTGTTAATTGTGGAGTTTAAATCTGGCATTTAAAAAGCATTTTTAATAAAATGATCTTTTAAATAATAATAATAATAATAATAATAATAATAATAATAATAATAATAATAATAATAATAATAATAATAATCATGCACTTGAGCCTGAATGCATTTTGTTCGCATCTTTGTTTATGGCGTAAATCACTGATGATTTTTAAACACTAAAGGCTAAACTCTGGCATAAAACAGCGAGTAAAGCTGCACAAATTGCTGAACTGTTGTCTGATGGATCCCACTCGCAGCCTACCAAGTGTCGGTGTGGGAAAACGTCGCCCTCCCGCCTTCCCGGACCCCTTAGCAGACTTTTAATTGGACGCCTCGCCTGCCACTTCCCGTCCTCCCAGGTTCGGTTGCTCTGCACCGTTAAGATGCTCAATTGATGGGCGTACTGATCCGAGCACTGAAGGAGAGATACCCTTTCATTGTGGCACAACAAAAGCATGTTCCTTCCTGCTAGCAGCCGGTTTCTCTGCGTCCAAAACCTCCCGGAGACTCGCTCTTTCCTCTCTCTGCGCTGCTTTGACAAACGGGACTGGCGAACAGACTGCGACCATTAGAGAAAAAAGGATTTAAAACAGCTGATGACAGAACAACACAAGGCAGAGCATCACGGCTAGCAGCGCACATCAGGGTTTATTCCAGGTGAGCTTGTTTTAGTGGTTACTTTGGGGAGGCGGGGGGTGGGGGGGATCGCACCTGCCATGAGGAGAACGCACGGAGCGAAGCGCTCCTGCTCCCCGGACCTGAGAGACCTGGACTCGGACGGTCAGATGGAGTCACCTGCCGTGTTCCGCCGCCATGGAGCGTTCACAGTTTGAATCTACATCGCTACTTGTTCTGAAAGCCACCCGAGTGGAAGGATGACAGCTGATCGCTCCTCCTCTCCCTGGACGCGGATAAAAACGCGCTCCGTGTGAACGAGCCGCCTTCTCTCAGCTGTGTTTAACAATAGAAGCTGTCTGGATCCTCATCTGGGTTATCATCACACCTGACACCCTCGCTGTTGTTCCAGACGCGTTTGGATCGTTGACGGGGACCTTTGTTGCTCCACTGCTGGACTTTGCTCCAAAGCCCTCACCGGCGGGGATGGACCTTGAGTAGCCGATGAAATAATCAGCGTCGTGGTGTCAGCAAGGGCTTGAGCCGCGGGGGATTTATGTAGATTATCGCTAGAGTGCTATTTTGTCCCCCCTCCCGTTTCCACTCTTAAGAGAACTCAGCAGCTTTAGGTCTGCTGTCCTTTTCCAGCTCCTTTAACTCCAGGAGTCTGTTTAAGGAGGAGGAGACGGGGAAGGGGTCGCAGGCGATGCGTAACGCAGAGGTGTTTGGAGCCAGATCCGAGGACCTGCTGTCACACCGTGGATGTGGGGGGATGAGACGCGCCTCACGGCTGTAGTGATTACGCGTGCTCTCTACTCCCTCTCTTCCTCTCGGGATGCCGTGGATGTGAGGAGGAGAACCGGTCCCTCTGCAGATCCGCGAAGTGCCACCGAGCAGCAGCACCGAATTCCCGGACTTTATCTGACTCTCTACCGGACGGCCACCGGAGGATGTTTCAGCCAGGATGCTGCGCTTCCCCGTGAAGAAGATCCGGAAGCAGTTTAAGCTCCTGCTGCTGCTGGTGCTGCTCACCTCAGCCGCGTGGTTCACCTACCTGCACATCAATCAGGGCAAAACCATCAAGCTGCACTTCAACTACGGAAAAGGTAAAGCTTCTCCTTCTGTTACCAACGAGAGTCTTGAACCATCACTTCCTTTAAGATCAAAGGGTCTAATCTCTTCCTGGAGACTAAGTTGGAAAAGTGAAGATGCTGGTTGAAGATGCATTAACTTGAAACTTCTGCGTTTGAAAAATCAGTTTATGACCAGTTTATGTTCAGCAGATCAGGTTTGTGGCAACATTCATGTGTGCAAATATGAAGCATTTTGCATCCTTTCAAAGTTTTCCTATAATTTGTTGTGAATCTAGCACAAATGCACCAATATTAGTGCACACTTAAAGCATGATCACATTTCTATTGCAACAAGACATTTTTTAAACCACTATTTTTTTTGCAGACAATTTGTCACACATTGAACTCTAAAGAGTGAATTAAGTTCTCATCATTTGGGTAAAATTTGAATACATTTGCCATATTTTCATCATTTGATTCATTTCTTTGTACACCCCTTTGATTATTCAACCTAAACTTGGTTAATCTAAAGCAGATTGTGTGTAATCCTTAGCCCGTATGCTGGGTCATATCGATAACCCAACCCCAAAACCTCAAGTTAACTTGGTCCACATTTAGGTGATCAAAAATAATCCAAACTGGTTTGCTTTTAAACCAACACAGCAGATAATGGCTTTATAAGGGGCAATTATCTGCTATCTTAAGCTGTGTCGAGGTCAATAACAGCTCAGTATCATTTAGTTTGATTAAAAAAGACAAACACATCTGTTACCCACGATTCCATCGTGTCTGATGAGCTGGAACTGACATTACTGCCGGAAGAAGAAACAAAGACAAGGTGCACGTCTCATAAATTAACAATAGTTTCCTCCTCCGGGCTGAATAAAGAGAGTTTGGGGGCTGGGTCAAAGGCCAGGGCGTTGCTTTCCACATTAATAATCAAAGGGCTGTTAATGAAAGCAGCCTGAGAGGTATCAGGCACACCGGTAACCTTAGGAGTAAAAAATTCCACCTGCTGCCTTCTTTACGTTTTATTCCCAAACCCCGACTGCTCGACTTCCTCGTGCTCACGGATGAAGCAGACAACCACGGTGTTAAATCTCCACTCATTGCAGTTTTAACTGGTGTCTCCCGCAGCTGTCAGTGTAAGGTGATACCTAATGATTATGATGTCCTTGAAGAGTGTGTGTCTCACACACACATGCACGCGTACACACATTCAGCTGACTGACAGAGATCCTTTTATTGTCTCTGGTCTCAGGGCTTTTCCTAGCAACAGATGCAACTGCAAGTTTTTTTTTTTGAAGGTTTATTAACCAGGATGTAAAAGGAAGATGCTCCTTTAAAAATAAGCAGCAGAAGAAGTTTTAAGTCTCTTATAAATTAGTTTTTTTTGCAGAGCTGTGCTGCAAGTCATGATTTGGCTCAGTCTGCTTGCGCTGACCGTCTCTAATTGTTTAGATTTAGCATTTTTACAGATGTAGCTAGTTATTTAGTGTGAAAATGGCTTTCATGCGTCAAAAGCACTCGGTTTGCAACAATCCTCCTGGTTTTTTAGGGTTCCTCTAAAAACCTCGACGTTGTGCTGCACAGGTCTACATTTCAGGCTTTTACCAGGCCTTTTTGCAGGTTGGACCACTTAACGTCTTATGAAGATTTTGTCTGATGGACAAACAAAAAATACGATTTCTAAGGCCCTGTCCACACGTAGCCGGGGATCTGCCAAAACGTAGATATTTTTCTACGTTTTGGCCTGTCATCCACACGAAAACGGAGTTTTTTCACACGAAAACGGATCTTTTTAAAAACTCCGGCCAAAGTGAAGATCTGCGTTTTCTCCATTTTGGGTGTCTGCGTGTGGACAGACAAAACCGGAGTTTTAAGGTCTGCAACGTCACTTTCCGCGACAAAAAAATGCTGACATCACGTGTGCGACCTGTGTTTACACTAGCCGACAGCATGGATGCCCTCAGAGCTGCGCTCGCTTTATCAATTGTCCAAGCGCTTTCTGCTTGTTTGTTTTTGCAAGCAGAATTACTGCTCCTTGCGCAAGACCACAGACGAAGGACGAGGTTAAGAACGGGGGAAGTACTGCCGCCTACAGGTCTGGCATGTCCTTAACAACGTATTTATCCGGGTACGTGTGGACAGTTTTTATTTAAACGAGGTGGTGTGGATGCAAGTTTTTGGAGGGGCGGATATCCGTTTTTAAAAAACCCGGCTACGTGTGGACTAGGCCTAAGTAGGACTCGCCGAAAATAAGGTGTGTAACTATTCCCATAAACCTGGAAGTTTTGTTGATTCTTGGTAGAAATCATGTTATTTCCCTTTTGGTAGGAGTTTTTAATTAAATGAATATTAAATGAGAATTTGTCAAAATGTTTTTTCATTTGTTCCAATTTTGGAGAAATTTAAATCCACTTCAGCCAAAGCCTCTCATTGAGAATGCATCAAACGAACTGCTGCTAGTTTTTTTTCTTTTCCTATAAACAACATGTGATTGGTGGAGAAATATTAACATTTTAGCATAAAACTTATGTTTAAGTGGAAATAATGACATGTCTGCCTATCCTTACAGACATACAAATAAATAATCTCAGGCTGAACGGTGGATTCCCTCAGAAGAGTCTGGCTGCAGCAGAAAATGGAAAGTGATTTTAATTGGTGTAGCTGGCTAGAAAAATGAAATGTTCTAGACTTTTCCCAACAAGTGACCTTTTAGAAATTGTAAATCAGCTGTGACGACGCCTGTTCAGATTATGAATTACTTGCTGTAGAAGTTGTGTGATATACATCACTTCGCATACTTGGTGGAAAAGGCACGCCGTTATTCACGTGATTTGTCACGCTGCGGATGATGCTCAGAGAAATCGGTCCCAAAGAAGTCGCGTCTGACCATTTTGGTTCAGATTTGTCATCATCCAGAGCTGCAGCTGTGTGGAACAGGGCCATCACTTTCTGCCTCTAAATGATTCAGGACGGGAGGAAGCTGTGTGATAAACTGGTGATGGAATAGTGATGGGCAGACGACTCATTTCAGGCTGACCTGCAAGAGGAGTTGCTGTTTTGAATAAAAAATGCACATAGAGTATGTTTTTAGTTTTTTGGGGGGATTTTCTTGGAATCAAAACTCTTAAATCCAGCATGATGAAAGACTTTTCTCTTCAAGAAGAAGCAGATTCTTTCTTATCCTCAGGGAATGTGAACAATTTGTTATTACCTGCATCAACAATGATAAATAGGTCATCTAAAAATGAATTTATATAATTAGAAGCAACATTAAGACGGCTTTTGAGGACGTTTATGAATATTTTATTGAACGCCCAGGTAGCTGTTGCACCTACGACGGTGGAGAGAACCAAAAACGGGTAATTAAACAGTTTTCTGATTGCACCCCGGCCAGGCTGGCCTTATTTAATCAGAATTTCAATGAGGAAGCGTGTTGGCAGACAGTTCTCCGGTGCATTTTAGATGAGTGCCACATTTATGTGGCCACCCAGTTTTACAGCACCCCCCCTGTTTTCCTGCATCAACAGGTCCACTGAGGAGGGAAAGGCTGGCCTCTGCATACAAGCCTCTATTGATTAACTGATTACACACATGTAGGCACGCACACACACACACACACACACACACACACACACACACACACACACACACACACACACAAACACACGCGCACATACTGCTTTTATTTGTCGATTAAGACAAATGTAACGTACCAAAAGGGTCAATTTTTACCTATATATTGACCAACATAGTGACCTTTCATTCACTTTCTGTTTGGCCTTCCAAATCCAGAAAGTTCTGTTCAGTGCGTGTTTACATACTGAAGACAAAACGTCCAGACAAACTTTCTCTCTGTGAAAGCCAGACGTCAACATTCTTCACTCTGAATAAGTGAAGACTCAACGATGTTATAGTTATAAGTTAAATAATCATATGTGATGAATGAACAAGATGTTTAAATCAAATGTTTGAATAATCTGTGCTTAAATTAATGAAGTTGAAATGAATATTGCTCTTACAATGATTAATTGCAGATCTTATGATCATTATGTGTCTGATTAAACAAGTTAATCATTATCTACACTCATACAAATTACAATAAGATACAAATTAAGGTTAAGGTTCACCTCACATAAGTGTTTTAAACCATTCTCATTCACAGCGTTATAAACATTTTTGTATCTGAGGAGGATGTGACTTTCTGAGGGATGTTGGTAAACTCTCAGAAACGTGTCAAATTCTGATTGGCCAAACTTGGCTAGAAGTCATAACAAAGTAGTTTAATAAAACAAGAAATACTTTCCGATTAATTCAGTTTCCAGCTGACCCTGATTTGGCCAAATCGGGAAAGAAGCCTCTTTTGAAACAAACTCCTTTGACCTTAAGTCAAAATGGTAAATGGCCTGTTTTGATATAGCGCCTTCTAGAGTCCTGGAACCCCCCCCCCCCCCCCCCCCCAGGGCGCTTTACAACACAACCAGTCATTCACCCATTAACACACACATTCACACACTGATGGGGATGAGCTACAATGTAGCCACAGCTGCCCTGGGGCACACTGACAGAGGCGAGACTGCCGATTACTGGCGCCACCGGTCCCTCCGACCACCACCAGCAGGCAAAGTGGGTTAAATGTCTTGCCCAAGGACACAACGACAGCGACAGACAGAGCAGGGCTCGAACCTGCAACCTTCCAGTTACGGGACGAGCACTTAACTCCTGTGCAACAGTCGCCAAAACCTTTCGCTGTAAGTGATTACAGACACAACAGCTCTTTTCAGAGCTACTTCACACCTAATCTGCAGACCCCGGGTTGCATCTCATGGCCGGGGAAGCTGAACTCAGAGGAAGCTACTAATCTCTGAGTATCGTGGTTTCGACGTCCGGTGACCACACCAATGTAACGGAACGGAATGACTGTTTTTTCCCTTCTTTGCTCAAGACTAGTCTGCATAAGATATGGTCTCAAGGTCTCATGCTGCTTATTTTCAGCTCAACAAAAGAATGAAGAACAATCTCTTTTC